ACAAAAATTTGGGGGCCACGGAGGAGTTCGGGATCTCGGATTTTGAAATGCATCACGGTGTGTTCTCTATGGAGACAATCGCAGACGACGGAAGCCTTAAACCTTAAGCGCCGGAAACACTACTACCAAAACGCTAGGCCCCTTTGTTCAGAGAATGTCTGGAAAGGCCAAAACCTCAAGAACTCTTCCCGCACTCCGCTTTCGGGAATTCTCGGACTTCTTTCCTTCCGAGCCGCACCGTGTCACCCGACTCAACGCACTCAGAGGATCGGCCATCTGGGAGCCCATAATGTCCCCAAAGAAGCATTGGCTTGATTCGGCAGAGAGACATTCACAGCCCACACCCAGACCCAGGAAGAGCTCGACTCCATGTGCATTGCAAGCATCACGTGGGCCTTCGCCACTCTAGGCCGGCCCAACGAACCGCTGGATTGGAATAGCTCGTGTTGAGCATAAACTTCCGTCCAAAAGACGCCGATACAACAGGAGATTTGTGGTGAGCTTGTGGTCTATCGAGTCTACTGCTGCATCGGTATTTGTGTTTTGGGGCTGAGGTTCAGGGCCTTAGGGTCTTAGCCTCAGCCCGATTGTGCCTGTTTCATCCTTCAGATCTCTCTGAAAATCCTCAACACCCCCGGGCACCTAGCCCTAGACATACCTAAACCTGAACCTCTGGAAGCCCCAGCAGCGCAAGAAACACCAAAGTCCGCGGGCTGGACTCGAGGCGTCCGAGCCGTAAAGCAAAGGTTGAGCTGAATAGCAAACCGAAGCCCCTTTGTCTTAAACCTTCCGAAGGCTGTGATCCCTTGAATTGACACCCTTGAGCCCTAGCCCTAAACTCGTGAGGCAACAACTTTGTTTCCCAACCCCTACAGCCAGAGATTTCAAGATTTCTAAAATCCCAAACAATACACTCTCAAGCCCCGCACATTGAAAAAGTCCATCACCAGGGCGCTGGAGTGAAGAGCTGCCGGGGGCGGCCGGCACGGCCGCATGTGACCGGATTGGAAAGTGCAAGACCCAGGAGCCAGGATTTAGGGTAGTATTTATGGTAAACCCCCAAACCCTAAACTCCTTAAAGTAGCCCTTGTCGCAGCCCTTGGTTTAAGGTCTTGGGTTTTCCATGCGGTCTTCTCTGTGAGATGGGCTTCGGCTCGTTTTTGAGTTTTGGTCTCGGCTCCCGTGTTTCCTAAGACTAGCTTCTGAGGGGGTTTGTAACGGGGGAACGATAACTTTGTTTTAGTGCTGGTTTCCGGTCAAGGGCTTGCAAGGGTGGATGTTGGGATCTTTGCTGGCTCTAGGAACCCTCGAAACTAGAGTTTCGGCTTCGATCGCTTCGGGTTCATGGCATTTAGGGCTTTGATTCAGGCCCGTATCCCCAAAGCCTAACCCTTTAAAGGGTAATCGGCTTGGATTTTTTGGTTCCTTTTTCGCCTACATGACATGCCGGGGGAGACCTTCGGATGTATGCTTCATTCCACCTGAACGGCAAGCCCGAGACTCGAAATCCTGATATAGGAGCCACGATGCGTGGTAGCACAGTTGTATCCTGAAGCATTCTTACATTGCCGTCTGATGCTGGGCAGTTCTGCTTCAGACCCTGCAAGGCAATTCTGCCTTGAGACTCTGCAGGCGATTTTGTCCTGGACACCGTTCTAGTATTCAGGCCCCTGAAGCCCACCAAAGCCCGCCCTCCAGCCCTGAAGTGGATTTCGGCAAATTGCAGGAGCTCTCCAACTTGGTGTGGGGCCTTGCAACGCTCGTGGCCCGCGGATCCCCCAGGAGCGTGTCGCCAAACTCCGAACTTTACTAAGGCCTGCAACAAGATGGGTCGAGGTACAAGGTGGTACAACTGTGTTAACTGCAGGTTGCATCAGAGTTTAGGGTATCTGTAGGTGCGCAGCCGCATCCAATCCAAGCCCTTACCGTATAGTACCCAGGCTCCTACAGTAATAACTAACGGAAAAAGAAGAGCGAATGGCTGTAAATTTCTAGCAGAAAAGTGCGAGGACCAAGGAAAGGAGGCAGAGGGAAAGGTCGCCTTTCAGTACACGTCAGAAGTCTTTGTTCTTTTGCTCGATCCCCTTTCCAGTGCATCCCTGAATTCCGACGTACATACATTTGATCCTGTTGATTACTTCCTCTTTTGCATTGGTTTTTCCAAGTCAAGCATTGTGCCCGACCGTGGGTTTGTGGTGCCATGCCTAGCCAGCATTCTCAGTACCCTATGCTTAGCACCCACACACAGAATTCAGGTTGAAGGTAAAGGCGGTTCGGAGCAGGTCAGACGAAGAAGCACATGGTAAACCGCAGTCGTGGAGGAATGATGTGGGGAATCGTTTGCAGCACGATTCGTCTTCACAGAGAACTGCATCAGGGGGCTTTGGGGCTTCTGTGGCTTCCCTTGAGACGTCTCCCTGATCCATGCATCCAACACCCAAAGATCCGAAAATGCCGCTCGAATGACTCAAGGTCATCACACACCCCTCCTGGACCTCATTGCAGGCACAGCATTAAAAGGCGATATTATAGGGGCTGGGCTCGGCCGCTGGGTGCCGAAAGCCATGGAGAGTTTAGGCCTAAGGTTTAGGTTCTGGTCGGCTAGGAGTATCATTTCACGTCCTTTTGCTTCCTGTGATTTCTCTTTTAAAGGAGTATTATGATCACCACCAACGTGGCGGGAAACCGCCTCGGAGTGGTTTGCTTGCAGCACAGTCTCGAAAGCCTTAACCTAAGGTCGAGCTCTCAGGATGTAGCCTTTTAGAAGTATGGGGAGATCTGCGTACCTGATGCCCTAAACTCCATCGGTTTGTGGTTTAAGGTTTAGGGAAAAGGGTTTCCAAAGCCTGACATGAACGCTTGGCCCAGTTAAGCCCTGAAGCTTTCGACCCATTGCTCGCGAATTTCGAAACCTCAAACTTTCAGAGCGCGCTCCTCAGCGAACCCCGAATCCCGAAGACCCCTTCAAACAACTTAAACCCAACCCCCCCAAATTCCATCAAGTTCGGCCAGCCCCAGCCCCTAAACGGAAGAGCCCTTCCAGAGCCCCCAAGTGCGAGGTGCAGCGGTGGGACGAATTTCAGAGTTCGAACTGCCCCTCGCAGTCGAGAAATCGGGGGTTGCCGGTTCTAGGGTTCTTGGGTTCTAGGGTTTAGGGTTCTAGGATTCAAGGTTTTGGTGCAGGGATTTTGGTTGTCGCCGTTTCTCTGTTGTTGGAACAAGGGATTCAGGCCTCCGGGGCTTGAGGTATTCGGGTTCAGTGTTTCGCGTTCCGGGGTGTTGGAGTTTCTCAGTTTCGGAGCCGTTTTCGGAAAGGGCGGGCGGGCGGGTACACGGCTGTGTGGGCAGGACGAGCCTGTGTGGTAGTTTTGATTGTGTTTGCTGTTGTTTGTTCGTTTGTTCTGTGTTTGCTTGTTCGCCTGTTGGATTGATTGTTTGTTTGCTTTTGTTTGTTTGTGTCTTGTTTGTTTGTGAGCTTGTGTGCTGGCTTGCCTGCTGTGTGTTTTCAGGTTTGAGTGTGCCTGTGCAAGTCAGTCCGCCTGACGACTGTTTTGGAAAGAAGGTGGATTCCGTCGCACTCAAGTAAACTGAGGTTGCTGCGGTGTGGTTTTGGGCAGCGAAAGCTTCACAGTCGTGCGGGTGGGTTTCCAATTTCAAGCTTAGCCGGTGTTCCCGAACCTTGAAGATCCGGACGCAGGCACCTCACCAGTGTCTGATGTGTTGTCCCATGCCCGGACCGCTGGAAGGGATGATCCGCCACTTGGATCCGGGCCTGCCCTGAGCGAGTGTGCGAGTCGGAACCCTCAACTCAGGTAGCGGGTAGCGTGCACTAACGTCTCCCTTGGGCTCGGGGCCTTTGGATTTAGAACGGCCCCTCAACTCTGAAGCGAAGCCTGGCCCGAAGTCGGGACCCAAATGAGGCAGCACCTGACCAACACTGCCTGGAGGCGGGCTGAGCCGTCATCAAAACCCTACAAGCTCAAACTCTGAAGCCTCCGAAGCCCTACAGAAGGTGGTGGCATCCCCAAGGGCAGACAAACAGATAGGCAAGCAGATGAACACGAACTACTCTGTGTGTGTGTGTGTACAATCCTCTGGCCTGAACCAAGTCCATTGCTCAAATGAAGTACATTGATACACTTACATTTTCTACTACATACATGCAGACCTTCATAGCTGTTTTGTGGTTTTCTTGCTTACTTGCTTACTTGCATGCTTGCATGCTTGCCTGCTTGCCTGCTTGCCTGCTTGCCTGCTTGCCTGCTTGCTTGCTTGCATGCTTGCCTGCTTGCCTGCTTGCCTGCTTGCCTGCTTGCCTGCTTGCCTGCTTGCCTGCTTGCTTGCTTGCTTGCTTGCTTGCTTGCTTGCTTGCTTGCTTGCTATGTTTCGTTGTTTGGTAGCTTGTGTATTTGTTTGCTTGTTCGTTTGTTTTTGTTTGTTTGTTTGCGTGTTCGTTTGGTTGGTTTCTTTGTTGGTCTTTGGTTGTGCATGCACACATTCATGCATTCGTGCAGGGGTAGATGGATGCCCTTTGCTCCCCCTGAACCCCGAGCACAACTTCACCAAAAGCCGATCTTGCAGACTTGCCCGCCTCGCTGCCGTGAACGAGCGGCTGACGACGGCGATTTCAGGCCAAAGCTGAAGCTTTAGGAGACAAGAGTTTGGGTCTTATGGCGAGCTCCGAAAGGCTTCGGAGTTGGAATGTAGAGCTTGAGGCCGAGACTTTGTAACCAAGACTTTAGAGGAAAGCTGGGACCCCTGAGGACCCTGCCAGCCTCTTCCCAGACCTGCCTCCCCAAGCCTGGTCATTCAACGACTTCTGAAAAGTGTCGGGCTCGAACCAAGCCCCACACCTTGTGGGAAGACATGACGCACTTGCCTCGACTACAGTTTGACACGATGTCGATGCTGAGGCAGCAGCTAGTGCGGCTGGCAAGTCGGAATCCATTCAACACACAGCGTTACAACAACTAAGCCTTGAGCTCCAGCGCGTGCGAGCCATGGCTTCGAGTTCCGTTCCCTTCAGGGTCGGTGCGCTTGCCGAGCTGCTTGTTGACGACTATGCCAGACTCGGCTTCGCACGTGGGTCGCACGTCAAGGTCCTGGAGATAGTCCATGGCGGCCCCATAGAAGGCGGGTGTCTTATCAAATTCGTCCTTGGCGCCAGCGGCATTGTCTGCTACCAGGAAAAGGACGGCCTGCGGGCCCTGCCAGCACGCCCTGCGGCGGTCCCGGACCCACCACTGGCGCAGCCGGTGTCAGAACCACCCCAGCCAGAGGAGCCGCTTCTGTACTTCCTGCGTGACCCGTCTCGCCTCATCTGCCTCCGACTCGTGAGTTCGTCGGAGCTGGGGCGGCTCGCTTCCAACGTGGTGGATGCGATGCTGTCGATAGTTCGCTTGAGCCGAAAGGATATCATGCGGGTTGACACCTACCAGGATGAATGCCCCATTCTTGAGCAGCTCCACTCCAAGGGCATATGGCAATCGGAGACCTTCTCCGCAGTCGCCTCGATTAAGTGCTTCGACGGCAGCATGCTGAGTGCCGTGGGGCTCGGGTCGAACCTTAAGACAAGAGACAGGGCGGTGCACCTCTCCTTGGCGACAGCGCTGACCCTCGAGCTTCTGAAGGGCTGCCCTGCGGACTTGTTGGCGTCTACGCACCAGGTAATGGACGATTTTCCGGTGCTAGGTGCCCTGGTGAAGGAGGCCCGACAGATCAAAGAGCGCGCCGATGAAGAGCGGCCTCCGCCGCCTCCGCCGCCTGCGCCGACTCCACTGCCTCCGACTCCCACGCACGAGGAGTGTTATGATTTCGCCAGGCAGTTCATGGTCTTCCACGAGAACCCGAACCTCTGGTTTAGCGTGGGCCGCATCGGTGGCGAGAACGTCTGAGCCAGGGCACGAATACAGGCGCGACCACCGTAATAGTAACGTAGCCCTAACTTGCTGCTAAATAACACTAAAGCCTCTGAAACTGCATCCTGTCACCCTGGTAAGCATTGTCCTGGATTTGGCCTGGCCGCCTGTAGTCCACGAGCGAAGCCTGCAGGGCCAGCTTGGCGAGTTCCCGTCTAAGTTCTTGGCTCCGGCACTGAAGCCGAGGTCTGCCAGGGTTGTCGTTTTCTAGCCTAGTTCACCCGAAATGTAGAAGACACAGATCATCTTCGAGCAAGCCTGTTCTGGAATGGGAGGCAATAAGGTTCGGTCATTCGCCGCAGTCGGCAATCCTGGCTTGACATTCAATGCATAATTAGATGTCTACTGCATGGAGTCCACATGAGTGGTCACAATGCGATGACTGGGCTCTCTGCCTCGTGGACCACTGAGCTGAGGCGTAGGATCTCATGGTGCCACGCGACACTTCTCGATGGAGACCTAGGAGAGCTCCCTTCTCGCTAACTGCTTGCCAGTTGTTTTCAACTAGCTGAGTTGGCTGACAGTGGTATTGTTTTGTTTCATGCCTGAGTCCGGCTGCGAGAAGAAGGATGGTCTGGATGCTGTGAAGCTAATGTTCCGCCGAATGCGAGTGCCAAAAACTTGGTCTTGAGGAAAGTGCAGGAGTAGGGTAGCCCAGTATGTTCTTGTAGCGGTGTCGCTGTTAGGCTGGGGTTTGGTAGAGTCTTGATTGACATGTACTGGGCTGCGGCCTTTGCTAACTGCTTTGTCAGTGCGTGGGATGGCTGTGCTTCATGCTTAGTGTTTGGATTTATGATGCACATGGTCTCAGGAGTTGGGTTCGTCTGTTTTGTGTGGAGCCTCCCGTGTACTGGAGCTTGTACGGGCTTACGGTTTCGGGATCTGTGCTCACCGCTTTGAGGCTGCAGGTGAAAGCCAACACAACTTAAACCCCTGAAACACCCCTGAAACTACTCCTTTCAGAGGATGCGGAACTCCGAACAGTTGAATTCAAAAACCTCGGAGCCAAGAGCCTGAGAGCCATGAACAAGTGCAGGAGCGGGAACATTTGATTTCCGCTTTATTCCGGGGATGTCAGGGTGTGAGGTCCTCACACCGTGAGGAGGGATTTAGGGGAGAAGGTTTCGAGTTTCGGTTGGTTCCAGCTCCGGGGGAGTGTTCAGGTCTCTTGGGGCTTTCAGTGCTTGCAGGTCTTGTGCTCTTTCAGCCGAGGGAGTTGAAGGGGGTTAGGTCATTAGGTTCCCCTGCAGGCTGCGTGTAGGAGAAGACCCACAAGCTCGACGTGGCGACCTCGAGTTTAGGATTCCGGCACGGGCTGTTCTAGAGAGCTAGACTATGGCTGCAGCGGGCTTGTCATTCAGAACATCTCGCTTTGGGGTTCCTAGGTCGGAGGTTGCTTGGCACAGGTATGCCAGAACCTGAGATGCCAGAGTAGACTTTGGAACTCTGGAGGTCAAGGTTATAACCATTGTAACTACAATAGCCCTGGTAGGAACCCTTCTTAGGAACCCTTCAGGATTTGACGGTTTTGGGGTCGGAGTCCATGAAGTGTCGAAGTGCTCACCGCCCTGGGGCCAAGGGCTGAGGCTCCGAAGCCCTGAGACCCTAATAGAAGCAGCTCAGGAAGCCCTTCAAACCGCGATGACGCCATTGAAGCAGGAATCAAAAACAGCATAAGCAATTGAAGCAATTTTGACACCTTTATGCAAACTCTACGGTACCTATAGCCTATAACCATGCAATCCTTTACAAACAAGCCTATGCGCCTATATACCCCATTATATCCCCCTGTGAAACTCTGAAACCCCCCTGCAGAAGCCCTACTGAAAATATCAGCCCTTCTCATCCTATGGAGCTGCCTTGTCAGGGCTCAAGATGATGTCACAGTGCCATGAGCGTTATCCGTTCAAACTTCAACATCGGTGCCCCACCGACAAGTCTGCGCTAAGTAGGTTGTATGTTGGTTCCTCGCCAAAGTCCTTGCAAGGAGAGTGTGGTCTTCCACTGGCGCTTTTGAACCCAAGCCCAAATCGACCTTTTACCGTCTGGGCTTGGACCGTCAGATCGGGCAGACTCGACAAGAAACCAGCGCAGGAATCCAGGTTTGAACTTCTCCCAACTCGGCTCCCTCCTCCGACCCTCCCTCAAACCTCAAACCTAAACCCTATATACATACATATATACTATATATACTATATATACTATATATACGATATATACTATATATACTATATATACTATATATATACTATATTTACTATATATACTATATATACTATATATACTATATATACTATATATACTATATATATACTATATATATATATATATACACTGTATATACCTAAATCCCGAGAAGCCATCTTCTCCGCGGGGGTTGCATGTCGCCGCCGGCTCTGTCCGACGCAGCCATCGACCGGGGCGACGGCATCGCAAGGTGGCAGCGCAGTGCATGTCGGAAAGTTGGACCAGCTAAACTGGTCTAAGGTGTTCTTAGCTGTTTTGGGAGTGTGGCGTTTAAGAGGTTTTGTGAGTGCCAGCGCGCTTGTCATTCCTCCTTGTTTCGTTACTTGCTACTGCTGCGACACGATTTGATTCATGCTTCGTAAACGTCCGCCTGCCTTCGCAAAGCTGGCGGATCCAGGCCAGGGAGCTGGGCCGAGTCGTCTGCCACATACTTCAGCCGCCAGCCGCTGTCGCCCAAAGATGTCGTGAGCCGGGCGGCAACTTATACGAGTTTTGGGTTTGTTTCTCGGTTTTCGGCCACGCTTTTGCTTGTCTCGCTTCCACAGGTGCGCATGCTTGATTCTTCCTTATTCCTGCTCCTGCTCCTGCTCCTGCCCCTCCTGCTGCTCCTCCCCCTCCTCCTCCTCCCCCTCCTCCTCCTCTCGTCTGCCTCCTCCTCTGCCACCTACTGACGACGACCCAACCGCTGTCTATTTCAACCGCATAGTCGATTAGTATGCACACCATTCCCTAAACCCATCCAAAGCCTGCGCCTGAAATCCCCAGCCTCGCACCCAGCCTCAACTCAGGACCGCGTGCGGACGGAGTTTCGCCAGCTCTGCGTACGGCACTACGGCTCCCTAGTAGGAGCCTGGAAGGCCAGACCTGAGCCATTTGAGCAACTACTTTGGAGGTTCGGGCCTTAGGGCTTTCGAAGGGGTCGGGCTTTGAGGTTTACGGAACCTACTGGTACGCTGCATGTGAGCCTAGCGTTCCGAGACTGCCCCTGGTTTTGCGAGGCCATGGACGTGAATAGCGACGGGCGCCTGAGCTACTTCGAGTTCCTCCGTGCCTGCAAGCACATGCAGATGCAGAACGCGCGGGCTGTGTGGTCGGCATTGGGCCGATCTGGATTCCTGGCCGAAATTTGGATGACGTCTTCTTGTGGAAGCCTTGGGAAGCTTCAAGATGTAGAAAGCTCAGAAGACAAGACATCAGCAGCAAAAAGAATCCAACCACAAAAGTGTCCAGCAGCAGTAAGCCCTACAGTGAAGCCAGGAAGTTGGAACATGGATTTAGCATGATCAGTGCTAGGCGATCCCCTATGCTTCACCTTAGATGTTCCAACTTTCTGGCTTCTACTTTAAGCTTTCGCAATGCAAATAGCAAGCATCGTGATGGTTGCGAGCTTGAAACCAAGGTTTCGTCAGCTTACAAGAACTGGACCCTTTGCTGGCACAGCAGTTGGGCTCCCTCGCTGCCAAGCTCTGGCCCCTTGGCCTGGTTTTGGCTAAAGCTCCTTGGGCAGCTTTTTCGTAACACGAAGGATTTAGGGTTCCGGTGGATCGTTCTATAACCGCTTAGCTCTCAGGCGTCGGCAGTTATGTAAGTGCAGAGTCCTCTTTCGTTCTCCATCGGCCATCCAGGACTCTCTTTGGGTCCTTGGAGGAAGCCTGGCGCAACTGCTTCAATCCCACCGCGCGGCTGCGGATCTGCCGAGACGACTTCGTGCAAGCGTGCGAAAGTTTCCGCTTTAGGCACGGCGAGGTTTGCTTCGCCGAGCTCTGCTCAGAGAAGGCCCGCAGCGGCATGAGCCGGAAGGAGCCGAGCCCGAATCCCCAAACAGAAGAATTTCACCCCGCGAAGTTTGATCGAGAGTAAGCCTCAAGCGGAAGGAGTTCGGCTTCCTTCATACCTGGCTTGGCCGTGGTCCGGACCGCGGCTTCATCGACCCTCCTCCCTCTCGCTGGGAGAAGGAAAGAAGACCCTGGACCCCTCCAGTGCCGAGACTGAAGCTTGGCCCGCTCTGTGAGTGCAACTAGGTTTCGGGGTACGGAACACAGATCTCAGCGGCTCTCAGGGGCTCTCAGGCGGCTAGGGTTTAGGGTTCATGGCTCAAGACATCTACAGCTTAGACTCGCTGGCGATGCTCAAAGCTTTTCTTCCAACCAAGAGTTTCTTGTCTTTGTCGAAACCTCATCAAGTAAGGAAGAAGTTCGAGCGGCGCCAGAATTTCAAGGATTGCCTTCTCAGGTCCTATGGCAACTCGGCCAGGAGTCGGCTGCATTCATGTCCGCTTGCTTGTGCTCCAGGTGGATCCAGGTGGGCTCTAGCCCAGGCACCGAGACAAGTGAGGAGTGAGTATGGTCACTATCGCCACAACAAGTGATATATATATATTATAAATAAATAAATACATAAATAAATAAATACATAAATAAACAACACACACACAGATATATATATAT